TGACTGTTAGGATTAGTCATATACCACCATACCCAGGCAAGACACCCCTTTCCTAGAACACTACAATAGCTTTAGGATTTAGGCAGATGTATCCTATATGGAGAAGTACTTGGCAAACAGATGGAGGACTGGCGTGTCTGTTCAGAGTTCTCAGAGCTTCTCATAGAGGAATTGTCAGTGCAGGCTGAGCTCCTGTAGGTTCAGCCAGGGAATTGCTTTGACCTTGCCGTGTCTCCATTTCCAAATCTTCATGAACTGGTGATGAACTTTGGTGTATTTAGATCATTGTGGGGATGCACAACTTTGCACTCACCCTCCTGCAGAGCACCTAGGCCAGCCTGTGGACATGGTAAGCACGTTTTATCAACGTTTACAGAGCGACTGTAATGCCACCCCCAAATACTTGCTGGCTCCATATCTTTCCTCGTGAGAGAATATTCAAATGCATTTTAAATATTCATATCATAATTCAGTACATTTTTTTCTTGACCTTAAAATGAGCTTTTTTGCTCAAGAAAAGAAACTCCCTATTTGTTCAGATCCAGAAAGGATAGGGCAATTTGAAAACTCCTTAAAAATTGTAGCTATCCAGACCACACAGTATTTGCTAACAGGGGCTGCAGGAGGCAGGGCTACTAAGAGAAATGAATTGATTAATGCAGCCACTGCATTTTTTTCCACCCTCAATTTGATTTAAATTTAATATCCTCCCACAATGGAAAATGATTTACAATGAGAAGATGAGCTGGAAGGAATAAGAAAATGGAAACAAGATATGCCGTCTCGTTTTACCATCCAACAGATTTACCATGCCGTTCAAAACAGTGTCTGGCCATTTACAGTAAATGAAACGAAATGTTTTTTAAAATAACAAAACCCCGCATTTTTACTAGTGGACTCTCACTCCCCTGCAAACGCATTCATCCCACTGAGCTCTGCTTTACATCTATGTTGTTTTTAGCTCATTTCCTTTTGTAAAAAAGCAATTGGTGAGTTGATTTCCCAGTTTAGCCCTTGTAATAAAACATAAAAGGCATTTCTGTTTGGGCAGCTCGTAGAGTGAGTCAAAATCTTCAAAAAGCAACAAATATAGGACAGCATAAAATTAGAAACTGCCGGTGTTTCTTGAGCAGCAGTCGCCGTGTGGCAGATGCTCCTCCCCCGACTTGCCACCAGCATGAGTCTGAAGGTCACCTCTATGTACCAGACTACAGAACCCCATGTGTGTGTCTTTAAATAACGGTTTATAATTCACATAGCATAACACGCATCTGGTGAAATACCCGTCTCCATGCGTTTTATTTTCACAGACTTGCACAACGAACACCATTACAAAGGTGGAACACTTTCTTCCTTTCACAGAAACTCCATGCTCATCAGTGGTCTGTCTCCATCTCCTCGTCCCCTGGCACTGGCAACTGCCACTTTGCTTTCTATGACTTGCCCATCCTAGACATTTGACATAGACAGTCACAAATAACCAGCTTAGTCACCAGCTTCTTTCAGTTGACGTAATGTTTTCAGGTTTTATAATGTTGACCCGTGTACCAGTACCTCTCTCATTTTTATTGTAAAATAATATTCCATCATATAGATATACCAGTATTGTTTATTCATACAGCCAGTGATGGGAATTGGGGTGTTTTGCTTGTTGATTATTGTTCTCTCTCTCTCTCTCTCTCTCTCTCTCTCTCTCTCTCTCTCTCTCCAGTTTCTGTGCAACAGCAACAGCTCTGGCTGGCCTGGAACTCCATCTGTAAACCATGCTGGCCTCCAACTCACAGAGATCCACTTGTCTCTGCATCCAGAGTGCTGAGATTAAAGGCGTACACCACCGAGTGGCTCGTTAATAATTGTTAACCATTTGTTTTGTTTTTATTTTGAGGCAGGGTTCCACTGGGTAGCCCAGGCTGGCTCCAAACTCATGATCCCCCCTGACAGATATTAAGATTGCAGGTGTGCACCATCAGACCTAGCCATGAGGACAAGTTTTTGTGAGGGTTCTAGTTTTTCTCACATTCTTGCCAGCATTTATTATCTGCCTCCCCACCCCAATATAGTACGCAGGCACTGTACACGTGTCTTTCATGGACCTGCATCCTCAGCCCAGAGAAGTCCCTGTTGTCGTGTTGCTAAGGGGTTAGTTGATAGGATGTCTTAGGCAGACAGTCAGAGGCTTTTCAGCCAGGCAACAGCCAGAGACTGTTGAAGAACACTTGAAATGATGAGGGGAACTGGGGAAGCCGGCTTAGGAAACACAGCGACCAAGTGGGGCTAGCAGTGGCAAACAGCATGTAGACCCTGGCTGCCATAGTCAGAACTGGATTCTGATGCCAGCTGTGGAATTAGGAACATGTCCCTAATTCCAGCATTTGAGGATCGAAGGCTGGAGGATCTCGAATTTGAAGTTAGTTGGGCTACAGAGAGAGACTCTGTCTCCAAAAGAAAAATACAATAAACAAAAATGTGCCTTTGGGAACCTCAGGACTTCAAGAGTGGGGGGTGGGATGGGGTCTGGCCAGACAAGCCCAGATCAGACCCTGTGTGTTTCCTTCCTGGGATGGAAGGAGTGATGGCACATGGAATGCTATAGATTTTTCTGAAAGACAGGATGTCCTGTAGCTCAGGCTGTGAGCTCCCTTTGTAGCTGAGAATGACTGTGAATTTCTGATCTCCTTGTCCCATCTTTCAAATGCAGACATTATGGGTATGCACCATCACTGCCAGCCAATGGCATAGATGTTCATAGTGGAAAGCAGTAACTTGATTCCCTGCCTTGAATGATCCCAAAAAGAAAGAGTGCCACAGGACAGCAACAAACAAACAAACAACAAAAACCAACCAAACAAAAGAACACACCACACCACCACACAACACCAACTACCACACACCACAACAACCATACCACACAATACCAACCACACACCAAGCCAGCCACACCACACAACATCACACCATGCCAACCACACATCACCCATACCACAACAACCACACCACAACAACCACACCACACAAACTATATCACACTAGTGACACTGCAATAACCACAGGAATGACATCACACCACCGACTGTTAGCCTTTGATTACTCAGAGCCATGATACATGTACTTGGACTATTCCTCATTCTGTACTGTTGGTCAAGATTATTGTTAGTGTGCTCACAAATCCTTACATACACTAAATCTGCTCTCCCACTTTCTCTTTATTTGTATCATTTGTATAATTACCAGCAACACAGTAACAAAAAGACAAAACACTCATTTCACATAATTTTAAAGGCACCACATGGAACTTACTTCATTACATAAAAAAGCCTGTTATTTTCTACTTATTCTTTTAACTCCTAATTCTAAAACATTTAAAGATATTTATTTTGCCATAGATCCTTAGGGAATTATTTTGTTATGTGTGTTTTTTCTTCAGTGTTGAGAACTGAACCCAGGGCCTTGAGTATGCCAGGCAGGCGAGATCTTTCTGAGCTGTACCCAATGCGTGATCTCTCCCTCTCTCTTTCCCCCTTAATCTCTTCCTCTCCTGGCCCTCTCCCTCTCTCTTCTCCTCCCCACTTTCCTATTTCCTTCTTTGCTGAGACAGGGCCTCAAGCTCACTGTGTCCCCCAGTAAGCCTCCTAGGAGCTAGAATTGCTAGGCTTCCTGGCCAGTTCTACTGCAGTTTGGAGAGACCTGAACTGCTATCTAAGAGTCAAGAAAAAGGACAATGTAAAATACCTCAGGATTAGCCAGGCAGTGGCACGCCTTTAATCCCAGCACTTGGGAGGCAGAGGTAGGAGGGTCTCTGTGAGTTCAAGACCTGCCTGGTCTACAGAGCTACACAGAGAAACCCTGTCTTGAAAAAAAAGAAAAAGAAAGAAAGAAAGAAAGAAAGAAAGAAAGAAAGAAAGAAAGAAAGAAAGAAAGAGAAAGAAAACCTCAGGATTTTACTGGCTACATGTTGCAAAGATATTTTAAGTAAATCAAGTTAAATAAAGTAACAATGTTAAAATTAGCTTGCTTTTAATTTGACCATTCTGAAAATGTTTAAATTTCACAGGTGGCTCCCATTGAAATTTCCACACAGCCCCTCTGTGAACTAGAGCTGAAGACCCCGACCTTACCAACAGCTGCATTGTAGGCAGGATATGGTAAAGTCGTTCATTTGTTTTTCCCTGTTAATTACATTAGAGGATTTTGCGGACTTATTTCTGTTTTATTGACATATCAAGGATCCTTTATTGTGAATCAAATTCTATAAATAAAATGTCTTAAAACATCAAATCTTTATTATTTCTCATAGTCCTAAGGGGCCACTGGTGAATTACTTACATGTGTTCTCAATGTGACAAAAGGCCTCACAGACGCGGCTAAGGAGGGAGGATTGGTTTTGGCTTACAGGGGAAGCACACACATGTACCAGCATTCATGAACCATACCACACATACACACCAACACAGATACACACACACACCCCAACAGATATACGCACACACCAACACAGACATACACACACACACACACACACACACACACACCGACACAGACATACACACACACACCAACAAACACACATACCAAAACAGACACATACATGTTGCTGGGGTTTCCTTTCAACCAGGTCCTGCTGTCGCTTCAGCCGCAAATAAACACATGGACACTATATTACTTATAAAACTGTTGGCCGATGTCTAGGGCTTCTTATTGGCTAGCTCTGTCTTAATTATTAACCCATTTCTATTAATCTACATATTTCCACATGGTCTTATCTTACCGGAGAAGGGTGCAGACCTCTTACTCCTTCCTCTGCTACATGGTGTCTCTCTGCCTCGCCTCTCTGCCTACCTTTCCCAGAATTCTCCTTGTCTCCTAGTCCTGCTTATCTTCCTGCCTCTATTGGCCAAACAGTGTTTTATTCATCAACCAATAAGAGAAACATATATACAGAAGAACATCCCCCACCCCTCTCTCTCTGTCTCTCTCTCTGTCTCTCTCTGTCTCTCTCTCTCTCTCTCTCTCTCTCTCTCTCTCTCTCTCTCTCTCACACACACACACACACACACACACACACACACCAAAACAGGTTAAGCATCACATTGGTAATGCTTAGGCCAGCACAGCTGGGACTGGAGAATGGCCTCACTGGTTAACTGGGACCTCAGCTGAGATGGTTGCGGTGGGAGCCCATCCACGTGGCCTCCTCAGGCTCCAGGACAGGATACTTCCCCTTATACAGGGATGGAAAGGCACTCTGAAACGAGTGAGTGTCAATACTCCCTATATTGAGCTTTCTAATTGTGCCACATTCGTGTTGACCTGTGAGCCTAAGAAAGTCAGATATTCAAGTCCAAGTGGATAGACAGACTCCATGACTTTTTGTGAGCAAGAGCAAATGTCACCACAAAAGAGTGTCATCCACGAGCTGGAGACGCAGGAAAGCTGCAGTGCAGTAAGGATATGTCTGCAGTGGGCAAGGTTCCCCTAAAATAACACCTCTGGCTGAAATACCTTCCAGGTTGGTTGTAGTGATTTCTGTTTCTCCCTGAGTGTAGCATTTCCTCTCCATACCTTTCCAGTACCAAGTACTGCTGTTATTCCTGTAATCTTTGCCAGTCTGTGAGAAGGCTGGTGCCGCCCTTGTTTGTTTTGTGTGTTTCCTGACTAGGAGTTGAGCATCTTACACTGAAGGCTGTACCAGGGCCTCACATGTCAGCAAGTGTGCCCACCATTCCTGCTAAATCACATGCTAAAGCCAGGGCCAATATGGAGCCTCCTCATCTCCTAGACCAGGCTGACCTTGAGCTCACTGTGCAGCCAGTGAAGACTTTGAATTTGTGATCGTCCTCCTAAACCTTCCAAGTGCTGGGATCACAGGCATGGGCCATTCACACCCAGTTTGTGCGGTGCTGGGGATGAAAACCAGGGCTTTATGGATGCTAAGCAAGCACCCTACCAACTGAGTCCCATCTCCATCCTCTTCATCTACCTTTGACACCTTACTTTTTTTTTTCCACAATAAAGCTGGGTATAATGGCACACACCTTTAGTTCCAGCACTCAAGAGGCAGAAGCAGACATAGGTCTGTGAGTTCAAGGCCAGCCTGGCATACTTAGGGAGTTACAGGCCAGCCAGGGCTGAACAGTGAGACCCTGTCTCAAAAGAAGAAAAAGAGAAAGAGGGGGAGGAGATGCATAGTAAGATCAAAATTAAGAAGGAGCATCATTAAACTTTAATGAGGTGGATGACCATAGCAGTGTGAGAACCTGGGAGTTTAAACCGGGTCATGGGGAAAACAGGGAATTTGGGGCCATGGAACTTTCCTTGGAAAAAGTAGAGGGTTCTGAATGGGTAAAGGGTAGCAGGAAGGGAAGCTTGGATGTTCAGGAGATAGGAAAGAATAAGCAGAAATCATGAAACAGGTTCTGTTCTCTTGTGGGAAGACAACAAAACCAGTATCCTGGGCCAGTAAGGTGGCTTAGCTTGTAGAGGCACCTGCAGCTGTGCCTGAGCACCTTGGTTGGATTCCCTGGGCCCACACGATGAAAAGAGGGAACCAACTCTCACAAGTTGTTCTCTGACCTCCACAGCAGTATGGCGTTTCTGAGTGTCACACACACACACACACACACACACACACACACACACACACACACACACTAAAACAAATTAAAAACAACATTCCCTTTTCCTTAGGGCCCCACGATCAGAGAGCCACTAAAACTCTCACCTGCTGCCCTCTTTTGACTCCTGAAGGTTGCTGGTGTCTGGTTTCGAATCTGTTGGAAGGTAAAAACTCTGGCTTCTGCCTACTGTGTTCTGGCTCAGCCAGTGTAGCCTGTCTGGCCTCTAGGCAGAACTGGTATCTCACCTGAGCATTCTCTCTTTTTAACTAAGTTCAGACTTTTCTTCAGGAGTCCTGAACTTTTCTTCAGGATCCTGTCTTCAAATTTTTCTTCCTGTCCGGAAATTTTTAAATAAAAAATCAGCAAAAGCCTAGATTCAGGGATTTTATACATACAAAGCAATCCATAAAATATATGCTGGGAGTCACCAAGGCTTCCCTCATAAACATTATGATGCTGCACTCCTCAAAGCCTGGGCTTTTACTCACTCTCAGGAGTGAGGCTGTCATTACTGGTTTACAGAAGGAAAAAGAAAATAAGTTGGTTTACTTTTTGGTTTTGTTTGTTTTTCTTTAGCAACTTGAGTCTGCCTGGTTTGACATTGCAATTTTGACACATGATAGAGCTGCAATAAATGTTGGATGAATTCCTTTATATATGAGTAGAGTTTTTAGACAATGACATTTTTTACAGTGTACAAAAGTATTATTTCACAGCACAGTTTATACAGCAAACTGCCAGTAGTAAGTTAAGGGCAGTCTCCTGCCCAGTTAACTAGCCAGGCCACAATGGAAGCAAACTCTGTATGGAGGTTGTTCAATGCCCATCACCCTTTCTAAAGTAGATTGGTGCTGCCAGGAGCAGATGTGTCTCACTGTCATGAAAATCATAACATTATTAAACATCTTAATTGCCACATTCTGTAGGTGTCTTTTGAAGCATTTGAAGCATTTGAAGATCACCTACCTATCTGAAATTTATCTGTGTAACCTTGAAAACATACGTAATAGGATTACAAGTCTGATTATTATAGATGACTAACTACTCACCTGCATTTTCTTAATTATACATTATATTTTTATATAAGCTGCATAAGCACAAGAGTAGGAAGATACATAAAGTGTAACAAAAGTAACATTAAATTGAGACAATGACTTTTTGTTGTTTTTTTGTTTGTTTTTTGTTTTTCGAGACAGGGTTTCTCTGTGTAGCTTTGGAGCCTATCTTGGCACTTGCTCTATAGACTAGGCTGGCCTCAAACTCAGAGATCCACCTGCCTCCTGAGTTCTGGGATTAAAGGTGAGCACCACCAACACCAGGTTTGAGACAATGACATTTTTATACAGTTAAAAGGAAAACAAGGTCCCTTCTGTTTATATCCAGTGTGGTCTTTGTGAGGAGGAAGAGCTGTTTATGATTTAAATAAATAAGTATTTTTGAAAAGGCTGTTAGAATTAGCCCGGGTGCTGTTACCAACCTCTCAAAAGGTTCCTTCAAGAGCTCAAGTATTATAAATAATGAGTTAGTTGACTGTTTTTCTTCCAGGAACAAGAATAAAATAACATTATAATAAAGTATATCCTAAAAAGGTCATCAAATACAATGTTTGATTGTTAGTAATGGTGACCTACACACTTGGGAAGCTGAGGCAAGAGAATTGTGAGTCTGACACCAGTTTGGGCTACCAAGTGACCAATATCCTCCTTACTGCCTCCTAGAAACCTTTCAGGGTACGGGAGAGATGTCTCTGGTTACGGGGACATACTGCTCTTGCAGAGGACCTGAGTTCAAGCCCCAGTACCATGTTAGTGGCTCACAACCACCTGTAACTCCATGGCTTCCACAGGCATCTGCACTCCCATTCATGTACACAGACACAGGCATGTGCACATGATTTGGGGAGATAGGTCAGTTTGGTAGAGTGCTTGCTTACCACGCACGAAGCCCTTGCTTAGAGCTTCACCACTGTAAAAACTAGACGTGATGGCACAGGCCTGTAATCACAATACTTGGGAGGTGGAGGTAAGAGGTCATCTTCAGGCAATATAGGGAGATCCAGGCTGGCCTGGCTCCACATGTCTCTGTCCCAAAAAACAACACAGACAAAATACATCCAAAAATAAAAAGCAAGCCTGATAGTTAACGTTAAATAAGAGTAACCACATTTTTTAGGGTTTACTTGAAATGATCACAAATGGGAAAACAGGGGATTAATGGTGGTGTTTCTGAGACTAGTAAAACATTACAGCAATGCTGGGTGTTGGTGGCGCATGCCTTTAACCCCAGCACTTGGGAGGTAGAGGCAGGCGGATCTCTGTGAGTTTGAGGCCAGCTTGGTCTACAGAGTTAGTTCCAGTACAACCTCCAAAGCAATACAGAGAAACCCTGCCTGGAAAAAAAAATTACAACAAAGGTACACATGGGGGCGCCATATTCGGCCAGAAACAGTATGTGTGAGCTGAACGATGTTTGTGAGATGTCAAAAGGCAGTGCTGAACTTTCACAGACAGAACATCAAGGTTTCAAAGGCTTGTGCGTCAACATACTCTGTTCTCAGAAAGTAAACTGGGCGCTGGCATTCCAAAAGAGTCTGTGCAATCCCCGGGTAAGGAATTTGTACTGGAGAATTTGACTGTTGTTTTGGCAAATCTTTATTTGAAA